GGCGCGGCGGAGGAAGGGGCCACGCCTTTCCGCCCTTCCGGCCGGCGACTCCCCCAAACCCGGGCTCCGCACATGGCCGGCCGGGGCCCCGACCCGCTCGGGCACCGTGGGTCCCAGGGGTGGGACCGTGGCGACAGCGGGGGAGCCGGTGTCCAAGCGTTCGCTGCGGAGTGTCCTCAAGTTTCTGACCCCGCGTGAAACCGGGAGCCGTGCCCCACGGGCGGCCCGTCACGGGTGGGGCTTCCTCTCCCTGATACCCCCGAGTGAGCTCGGTGACGTGACGTTTCCCGGTTGCATGTCGGACGTAGCTGAAGAGGCCCCGTGGTGGATGCGGTTTGAGAGATGCGGCTTTAACGGCGGGCAGAGTAGTTGGTCCAGCTGCTCATCCTCGGGAGGAGACTGACATAACTGCGGGGGGTAAGCTGGCGTTAAACGGGAAAGTGGCTCCAATGAAGTGTGTCTTTCTCAAATACAGGCGTTGTAACCTGCCTCGGCGCCCTGCCTGTCGTTTTCGGTTTAGTAAGTGTTGCGTGTGCACGTTCATGTTGAAGTCTGAACCAGACCTTGACGAGTCCTGTGATCTCACATCAGAGCCCGCTGTGTCTTCCCGTGGAGTTCCTCATCCCCTGTCTTACAAGGTGCCCCACTTTAAAAAGATGCGTTTGAGGCTGAGTGTAGGCAGGTGGTGTCCGGGGGCTGCATGGTGCTGCCTCTCTCACCGTGTTTGCTCCTTTTGTGTCAGGAGCGCGCACGTCCCCCTCCAGTGCAGTAGCGGTTACCTACAAAGATGTTCAAGTCTGGAAGACAGCCCAAGAAAGTGATTCAGCCTGAAGCCTTAGCCTGCAGAGGGATGCTGCCCACTGGGAAGGAGGAGAGCTGAGTGTAAGCTTTGTACCAAAGCCGGTAGAAGGCCCTGGAAGAAATTCAGCCAGTTCCCTCCTTCCCTGTCTCAGAGAGCCAGGTAGGCCACGGCCCTACGGGAGATGGCCTGTCCCCAGAGCTCCTGGCTGCCAGCTCAGTCCCAGCAGTCCTGGCCACAGTCTTCCACAATCAGGCCAAACTCTCCTTCGACCTGCTGAGGAGAGTGGCTGGGTTAGCACCCACCCAGGAAGGATGAGATTGACTGACTTTCTTCTAGAACCTTCTACCAGCTTTGGTAGAAACATTACACCATTTAGCAATATTGAGAGAAAGAGAATCAGTCAGACATTCCTGAGCGTTTGGAAAAGAAGTGAAAAGCCAGTAAAACTCAAGAATTTCAGAGCTGTGGGCAGTGGAAAGATTTAGGCACAGAGGTTACTGATGAATTTCATTGTCTATTAGAGGAGATTCATAGTTTCTACTAGAAGATACAAAGTTGCCTTAGCTGGGAGTGTATGTTTTCTCTGTTCTGCCACTGCCCCAGCTCATTTTCCCACAGGCACCAGCAGGGATATGGATTCCTATCCAGGCCACCACTAGCACACTTTTCCTGTTGTTCTGTGCCAGCCTCAGGCCGTCAGAACCTTCCTGCTCTGCTCCCGTTGTATGTCATTTTCATCATGGTAAACTAACCAGAGACACTTGTTCTAAAACATACACTCAAGTTCAAGCTGAAACAGCAGAAGTAAGAATTTAATAGTTTTATGAAAGTACAGTTGGAATTTAAATTCTCTTCCCAAGTTAGCTCCCTCAAAAATGCAGATTTAACCTTTAAAAATGTGGATGTTAGGCTCATTTGGGCCTTCAGACACTTGTGGTGCTCGTCAAGCAGTTATTCAGGCTGGAGCTAACATGGCCCAGTTCCTCAGGATGGAGCGGCAAGCTGCCAAAGAACCAGTAGCACCAAGTGGATTTCATATGAAGTGGCCCCAAGTACAGTCCTGTCCGTCCTCAGGCCACCCTGGCACACAGGAGGGTGACCTGAGCCCCTTCTGTGATCCATGGAAGGCACTGGGTGAGGGAATCAGGAGGAGCCTGGGGGGGATGGTTGACTGCTGGTGCGCCTGGGGTGAGCATGGGGACAGAGATGTCTGCCGGGTGCTTGACACCTGGGCCCACTGGGGCCACTCCTGCCCGGAGGTCTCTAGAGTGACTGGAACCTTGCAGACCACAAACCTTGATTTGGGGTTCGGAGAATAAACCTGCCTCCTCAGAAAACGAACCCAAGTTCTGTGCGTTTGACACTATTCTGTCAGGAGTTAGCTCCTTTTTTGTAAGAGATGTAGGCGTGCACTTGAGTTGGATTGTGTGCGTTTTTACAAAAATGTTTGACTCAGTCGAGGATTGCAGCCTGTAGGGAGTCACCACCATTGGACGGGGCCTCAACCCTACTCGGTCCAGCTTCTGCTGCCTGTGCTGCTGTTGGGTTGCAGTGGCCGGGACTTCAGCCCGAACAAAGTTATATAATTCTGCATCGATCTGGTTTGTTTGGGTTCTTCAAGTGAGAAGGACAAGCTGATAGATAAGGTGCCCTGGAAACGTAGCAGCGGATCTTCACTGGTCGTGAGGAGGCATTATTAATCCTGGGGTGTTTGATATCCATGTTTTGTCACATTCTGATCTGATGAACGTGCTGAGACATTACAGGTGAAACTGCGTGATTTGTGAGGTGAGTGTTATGCAACCAGAAGGGGGAGGCAGCAGGTGTTTTGGCAGCAAGCATTCATTATTCATTATCCTGCCTACCTCTGTGAATGTCTGAGAATTTCCATATAAAAAGTGGAAAGAAAAAGCTCCCCTAGGTTATGGGCCCCAGGTTCCCAGCTTCTGTGCCTGCCAGGTCACCCGTCAGCCAGTGTCTGAGGAACGGGAAGCTTGGCCTGGACCAGCGCCTTCTAAATGGCTGTGACTCCAGCTGTGGCCAGTGTGTTCAGTGGTTAGAGCATTGGCCCGCCCACCGAAGGGTCTCGGGTTTGATTCCCGGTCCAGGGCATGTACCTGGGTTGCAGGTTTGATCCCAGGCCCCAGTTGGGGCATATGTGGGATTAAACAAATCGATGTGTCTCTCTCACGTCGATGTTTCTCCCTCCCCTCCGAAAATCAATGCACAGATACTCTTGGGTGAGGATTATGAAAAAACTAAAATAACTTCTGGACTCCAGCTGTCAGGCTGCCATACCTCGCACATTCTCCACAGGTGTGCACGTGTGTGTAAATACCTGAGTACCTTAAAATGAAAGCTTAAGGAAGTGGGACCTCCTGCAAGCCTTCTGTACCTAGTAGGTTTTCCTTGCAGTTGCCGTCAGCGGTAGTAACCCGACCGCCCTGGTGACCCCTCTGCAGGTACGAACCACAGTTGAGTCTGGGTTCGCTGGTCGGCATGAAGCCTCCGTATTTGTTGCTTTGAGTGCTGCTGACACACTTCACAGCGAGGAGAGGGCTGAGGACAGTGCGTACGGTTTGGAAGTGAGCTGCTCACATGCAGTGTCAGGCCAGTGCTCGTGTGTTGGGAGAGACACGTGGGGACCACGTCGTGACCTTCAGAGAGGGGAAGTGGGGTGAAGCCTGCAGGGGTATCTGCTTTGGGCTGGGGAGTGGCTGAAGTGACTGGAGCTTGTCACCTGTTTCTCCAAGGACTGTTCACTGGCCCTGACTGTGTGTCCGGTGCATGTGCTGGGGGACAGTGAGCTCTGTGGCCACAGACCTCAGAGGACAGGCAAGGGGACTGTTGGGAAGCGTGCTCTGATAAGCGAGTCAGGAACCTTCTTATTTTTATTTTTATTTATTTATTTTTAAATGTATCTTTATTGATTTCGGAGAGAGGAAAGGAGAGGTAGAGAGAGAGATAGAAACATCAATGATGAGAGAGTCATTGATCGAGCCCACAACCCAGGCATGTGCCCTGACTGGGAATCGAACCCCAATTGCCTGGATCCTAGGTCGACGCTCAACCGCTGAGCCCCGCCTGGCCGGGCCAGGAACCTTCTTGTTATGAAGACATTGAGCCCAGGAATGGAGAGAATCTCTTGGTGGCACCTGGGGACCCAGCCTCACCATCATCAGTGCTCGACAGCTTGGTCCACGTGCATGTCCTCAGCACCCTGCTTCTGGGGCGATGAGCTGGAGCGTGTCCCCTCAAGTTCTGGTGTTGAAGCCTAACCCCCAGCACCTCAGCATGGGTCTGTGTTTGGAGATGGGCCTTTAAGGAGGTGGTTAAGGTTAAATGACGTCAATAGGATGGGCCTCATCCCATATGATCTATGTCCTTATCAGAAGAGGAAACTTGGGCCAAGAGTCCCCGGAGTGTGCACCTAGATGGATGACCATGTGAGGACCAGGAGAAGACCCACCTCCACGCCCCGGAGAGATGCCTCAGGAATCCAGCCCTGCCTGGACCTGGCGTGTGGCCTCCATCCCTAGAGAGAAGGGGTGTTGGCTATGTGAGTCTCGGTCTGTGGTCCTCTGTCCCACCCAGCTAGGGTGGCAGGTGACTGTGAAGCAAGCCTGGGACTTTGGCTGATGTGACAGGAATCTGGTGTGCTGGCCCCAGGGTGGGGATCGTATGGTGGGACCTGGTCTCTATCTAGCCTGGGGTCTGAGGACCTAGTCTCCGTCTAGCCTGGGGGTCTGAGGACCTGGTCCCCGTCTAGCCTGGGGGTCTGAGGACCTGGTCTCCATTGTCCACACAGACACAGACGGATGGGTGACTCAAGTGGCGGGACCACCTGCACGGCCCTGTGTGTGGTCGGTGGCCCCAGACAGTCACTGTCCTGAGCACTGTGAGTGCTGGCTCTTTCACTGCTGCCTCTCTCGGCCCCGTCGCATCCCTCCCTCCAAGCAGGAGCAGCGCTATCCCTCAGGTTTCCTGGGTCATAGTGTGAAGGAGCTGAGACGGGATCTGTCAATGAAGTAGAAGTACAAGGGCATGTTTTCTTACCTGAGCCGGCGCCCACGCGTTACAGTTTCCCCAGTGCCTAAGCGGTGCAGTCTGTGGGTTGTTGAGGTCAGGCATTAGATGCTTGTGGTGAAAACAGTCCTAGGAGGGATTGTTGGGTTGGAATTTGGGCTTTTGTTTGAGGCTTAAGGTGGTGAACTGCAGGGTGTCCTTAGTCCAGGAGGAGGGAGAACAGCTGGATTCTGGAAACGAGAAAGGTCAGTCTGACCAAGGTGTTTCTCCTGTTCAGGGAACCCTGGGGTGGGTGTTGCTCACTCGTGGCGGGAGGTGCCGCTTCACCTGCGTCGTTCCCCCAGGATGGAGAAGAGAAACTTTAATGCGTTTTAATCTTTATGATCCACCCCGTGCCCGACTGCTCCCTGCAGGCCTCCCTGGGGCCTCCTGTTGGGTTTATTTGTTCATCTACCCATTTCTTTCAGTCCCCAGCCCCCTCCTCTCTCAGGCCCCCTTCGCTGGCAGCCATCCCAACCTGTGTAGTGAGGTCCTTCGGTGTGTGTGTGGTTGTAAAATGTGTGCTGTTTTGATGCATGCTTTTAAAATCATTTTTTGCAAGAGTAGCACAAGGAACTCGTGTCCCGTTCGCAGAATTAACGCTCAGGTGGCGTCTGTTAGGAAGCAGTGGTGTGTGCACTGCCCTCCTGCGCGCTCTGCAGCCCCGCAGTGGGTGTCCGTGTGTGCATCCCCTGTGTGGCTCCTATCAGGTGCCCACCTACCTACTTGCTGACGATGGGGCAGGTTGGCCACACGGGTCCCTCTGGTCACCTTCTCCATGGCTCAGGCTGTCGTGAGCTGCTCCCTGCAGTGCTCCCTGTGGCCACGTGAAGACGCATGGGTAGGGTGTCACATCCGCCCACAGGGCGTAGCCCGGACGGGCGTCCCTTGGTCACAGTGCCCAGGGCACTGGGCTGTAGGCAGCTCATGAGCACTGATGCAGATGGCGGTGGCCCTCATGGTCCTGACCTGAGCTGGGCGAGGCCTTCCCGGCCAGCAGTGTGGGACTGTAGCAGCCTTGCTTCCTGTGTCTGTCTCCCTGAGTTAATTTATGATATGATCCCAATAAAAGTCAGGCTTTTTTCTGGAACTAGACCACTTCACGCTCGTCTGTGTTACAAACAAAGAAGGGCAGCCAGGAAACCTCTGAGAAGAAGGCTCCACACAGCCGGGTCCTGCTGCTGCGTGATCTGCCTCAGGAACAGGCCTTCCAGGAGGGGCTCCCCTCCCCAGGAGACCAGGGGTGCGGGAAAGGCCCCCGCTGTGGGGTCTGTGAGGGGTGCCAGGGGCAGCTGGTAGACGGGGGGGAAGGGAGAAATGAGACCCGTCCTCCCTAATGTGCAGCAGGGTGAACAGGCAGGTCAGCGATGCAGGTGGAAACAGACGAGCCCTGTGTTCACAGAAAGGTGGGTGGATCTTCAGTGACCTGGGAGACTGGGAAGCTTCCCTGTTACCCCAAATTCAGAGGCAGCAGGCCCGAGACCAAGGATCTGATGACACCAACGTGCGTGAAACACAGGTCAAGGAAAGTAATTATGGGGTAAATATCCCGTATGTTAGGTTCTCCTAAAGGTAGGACACAGGCTCGTGACCAGAGAGAAAGTGGCAGGAGGTAGGAACAGATGGTTCACAGGAAAAGATGCACGTAAATGGCTCTTAAACATGACCAGGCCACGCACGCTCGCTCACCTTTACTGAGGGAGACCGTGGGCTACTTGGCATCTTTCTGGGCTTGCCCCCATTGTCAGGGTGCTGCCTCTTCGCTGTTATTTTTAAGCTGAAAACAGACGGAAGCTGTGGTTCCTGTCCTTCCGGTTTCAGAGGGAGGCCGACATGTGACCATGGTTTTCAGCAAGAGCAGAAGTGAGCAGGAGAGCACCCAGTTGCTGTCCGCAGAGAGGGGGACTCAGTTCCCCCGCAGGAGTCCCTCCCCCTATGGACAACCCCAGGGGCTGTGCCATGGAGAGCGAGGTGGGTGCAGGGCCGTTCCCACTTGGAGAGCTGTGGAGAGAGCAGGCACAGTGAGCGTTAGGTCCCCTGGGGCCCTGCTCTGGGAAGGTGGGTGGGGGTTCTGCTGGCTTCCGGGTCTCTGGGTGGATGGTGGTGAGGCGAGGAGCCATGGGTGGCTTGTTGGGCTCATGCATTTGAACTCGGGAGTGAGGGGCCGCAGGTGTCAGCCGCTGGCAGGAGCTGTCTGCGTATGGACTTGTGGTCAGTTAGGACCCAAGATCCAAGTTGGAAAATAACTTAGGGAAAAGGTCAGAAAAATGCACATCCACAGCCGCCGGCCATGCCCGACATTCTGTCCACGCCGCCCCCATGAGGAGCAGAGGCACCGACGCAGCATCTGCGACGGGGATGGTGGGGACGCTGCTCTGCAGGTTTGAGGGCCGTGAGTCTGCTCACTGTCAGGTCTTCGTGGCTCCTGACAAAGGCTCCTCCTGTGGTCGCCAGGCTCCATCACAGCTCCTTCTGGGGCTGAGTGGGTCCTTCTGCCTTTCGGGGGTCAAAGGCTACAAGACCATTTTGGTGATGAGGAACCTGAGCTCCCAGTAAAAACGCTTGCTGAGTGAAGAATGAGTGGTTGCAGGGCTGCACCCGCCTTTAAAACCCTGTTGGTCGCAGGCTCTTCCCAGGAATTAATCCATGGTCACAGCCTGGAGCCTGGTGGTTTCTGTTTATTTTCAACCAGAACTTCCTTTACATTTTCATGTGCAGAGCCAGCTTCAGTTCCCAACCCTGACATGCCCTCTTGCTCCTGTTTGTGAAGAAGCTAAGGTCATGCTCTGCCGTGGGG